CCATTAAAATCAAATCTCACATTACCTTTTTACAATAACAAGCAAAAATTCTTCAATTCCTCTCTCACTTTTTTCTTCTTCTTCTACCGATTCTCAATCTGGATCGGATCAGTGTGAAATTCGCACTGCGACGGAGTTGATGGCGAGTGCGACGGAGGGAGGAGGATTGATGAGTTTCACGGTGGCTTCAGTAATGGAGGATGTGTTGCAGCAACACGGAAATGGATTGGGAGATCATGATTTAGAGTATCGTCGAGCTGAAGAAGCTGGTATTATTAATCTCTTTGTGCTTACTACTACTGATTTCGTGAATCTTCTCTAATTGATAATGTTTGATCTGATGAATTGATGTGTTTGGGTCTGGGTTTATGATAAATCGAATTAGATTCTTCTTCCTTGGTGTGATTACTAGCCATAGCTTTGATGGTTTAAATAGAATTTCGATTTTTCTGTATTTGCGTAGCGTCGAGGAGATATGAGGCGGCTAATTGGCTGAGGAAGATGGTTGGAGTTGTGGGAGCTAAAGATTTGCCTGCTGAGCCAACAGAAGAAGGGTTTAGGCTTGGATTAAGAAGTGGGATTATACTTTGTAAAGTCCTTAATAAGGTCCAACCTGGGGCTATTTCAAAGGTAGAGAGATACATAGATTTTTGATTGAATCCTTTTGAGATTGAGAAATTTGATTTTTAATTGTTGAATCAGGTTGTGGAAAGTCCTTGTGATGCTATTCTTGTTGCGGATGGAGCGCCGTTATCGGCGTTTCAGTATTTTGAGAATGTTAGGAACTTCCTTGTTGCTATTCAGGAAATGGGGTTTCCAACATTTGAAGCATCTGATCTTGAGCAAGTATGTAGTTTTGGGAGTTCGCCAATTCTGAAGTTTCTTGGCACTTTTTAAGAATTTTTTCATGACTATTGCAATTTGTTTTTTCTCTTGTAGGGAGGAAAAGCTTCTCGTATTGTGAATTGTGTTTTGGCAATCAAATCGTATGATGAATGGAAACAAAGTGGTGGAATTGGAGTTTGGAAATTTGGTGGTAGCATAAAGCCTCCTTCACTTGGGAAATCATCATTTGTGAGGAAAAACTCAGAGCCGTTCATGAATTCTTTATCTAGAACCTCATCCATCAACAACGAGAAATCTCTCTCTGAGACTGATTCTAACAAACTGGTTGGCTTCTTCATCTGTCTGTAGTTGGTTTTGTCTACTTAATTGGAATATTTGATGTTAAAGTGTCTTTGTGCCTCTATTTTCAGTCCAATTCAGGTTCCTTGAGCACACTTGTTCGCGCTGTTCTATCAGATAAAAAGCCTGAGGATGTGCCCAAAGTGAGTTTCAGACCACTTCACTTAGTTGCTCAGCTATATATATATCTTTGGCATTTCTGTTTCTTCTGGTTACTTTATTTTATTTGGCTTTGTTATGTTCTTGATGCAAATGCCTAATGTTGTGGTAACAGCTGATTGAAACTCTACTAAGCAAAGTAGTCGAAGAGTTTGAAAATCGAGTTACTAATCAGTATGAGTTGGTATGTTTTCATTTTCTTCTATCTCTTGGTTCATTGGTTAGTTCACAACAACATATGTTCTTCGGTTGTGTCAAAATTCTTCTAATCAAAGGAATTCTGTCATGTGAAGGTTAGAGCAGCTCCAAGAGAATCAACTTCTTCACCTAACAACAGATCCTTTCTTAAACCTCTTGGTGAAAGAGAGGTAAAGTCTTCACTCTTATTCCGTCAAAGATAGGCTAGAAGATTTCGCTGATTACTAAAGTGCCTTTGTAGAGGGAAGAGAAGAGTTTCAAAGCTATAAAGAAAGATGAAACCATTCAGAAAAGTCAGATTGTTGAAGAAGAGAAGAAAAATCGACAATTTAAACAACTGACAATCTTCAACCAACAACAAGAAGATATAGAAGTAGGCACTACACTACTCCATTCAAATTTTCTTCGATTTTAGAATGGCTGAGATTCTGAGTGTACGTATCTATTCTTATTTATTTTTTATAGGGACTAAGGCAGACACTTTACACTACAAGGGCTGGTATGCAATTTATGCAGAAGAAATTTCAAGAAGAGTTCTCTTCTCTTGGTATTCAGATCTTTCTTCTCTTACTTTCGAAGACAGTTTTGGTTATCCAAGAACTTGAAATAAACGGATCTCTATATCTGTCTACAGGTATGCACATTCATGGCCTTGCTCATGCTGCTTCTGGCTATCACCGAGTTCTTGAAGAAAACCGGAAACTTTATAATCAGGTGCAGGACCTCAAGGGTAGCATCCGTGTATATTGTCGGGTACGACCATTTTTGCCTGGACAATCCAACTTTTCTAGTACTATTGGGAACATGGAGGATGATACCATATCAATTAATACTGCATCAAGACATGGAAAGTCACTAAAATCTTTCACTTTCAACAAAGTCTTTGGGCCGTCCGCGTCTCAAGGTAAGGAAATTGAAATGCCTCTCTCTTACTCTCCAATGATAGAACTGAACCTGAAGGATCTATCTTGCTCTTTGCAGAAGAGGTGTTCTCTGATATGCAGCCATTGATCCGTTCTGTTCTTGATGGATACAATGTCTGCATATTTGCATATGGTCAAACTGGATCAGGAAAAACATTCACAATGGTAAGATCAGTGTTGTAACTAATTTTTTTGAAGATTGTGGCATTATGAAGGTAGGGTGATCTTTAATGTTTTCCCTTTTTTGTAAATCCTCTAGAGTGGACCAAGAGATCTAACGGAGAAGAGTCAAGGAGTTAATTACAGAGCACTTGGTGATCTGTTTCTTCTTGCTGAACAAAGAAAAGACACAATCCGTTATGATATTGCTGTTCAGATGATTGAGATTTACAATGAGCACGTCAGAGACCTTCTGGTTACTGATGGAAGCAACAAAAGATATCCTTTTTCATCAAATGGTTCTGCTTCTTAATGTTCTGGTC